GAGACTGAAGAAAACATAATTTTACGAAAGAGCACACGTGAGAGCCATCATGAAAATAATGATAAAAAACATATGATTATGTTTCCTGTACGTCAACGGTTATGAATATGAACGAGATATTAGCGATGGATATAGACATGATATCGTAGAATATGTATATAAAATTTGAAAGAGTTTCATTAAGTATAGAGGAAGAACGGCTTGAGGCCATCAACTTCACTAAAATGGTACCAAATTAACCAGAAGCACTCATATAAAGACAAAATTCTTCTCCTTTCTTTTCATAATGTTTCATGTGTAAAGTACAATAATGTTGTATAATTTCCTTTGAACATGACTCTTTGAAGAATCGAAACGTCAGATCTTTTTAATCAAATAAATTTCAATTCAAGGGTGCTGTTAATTTTAACAATAGAATCGTGATTTACATTAATAATATCAGGTTGATTCATAATTAATTGCGGATTAAAGTTCAGATAAAACCGGCTACTTTTGTTCGTTGTTTTTGAGGTACCGTCCAGTAGTTCCAGAGATTCTTTTTAAGATCAATCGATAGAGAATTGAATTCTCTACAAAACCTGTAATTTTAATCGCTGACAGCGTTTTTCCCATTTGAGCACCATTCAATATTTCGAATGGTGCTGAGTTGTCGAACTGCGACGTGCTTTTGACGTCTTCTTCTTTGAGATTTTTATCCCATTGTCTGAGGATCAACAGTTAATTTTTGTAGGTAGAAAGATAGAGAATTTTGTGCTCTATCGATCTCACTGATATACAACTTCATACAATGTTTTCGCTACGTCAGCTGGAGTCAAAATTAGTTCTCAATCAGCTTTTCAATTTTTTCAAATTAAATTAATTGTTTTAATTAATGATTTGAACTGAGAAACTTTCTTTATATATCAAAAAATGCGGAATTTAATTTTGTGTAAGATGATAAGACTAAGACCCTGGATTCAAAACGTTTTACTGCTTTTCTAGCCAAAAAATAAAGTCTGTGAGAGAATAGGTTCAGAAGTTAGGCTGTTTTAGACTTATCAGGTTTTTGCATAGAGAAATTTTCCTAGAAAAGTGAGCTGCAAAAAAAATACGCGAGAACATGCAGAATTTTCTTGTGAATCTTTTGATGGTTTCAAAATTCTAATGAAATCTGTTTTTGGATCAAGGCAAATATTTTTCTGTTTTCAGTGTGTCGCAGTTTACAAAAATTAACTGTTGATCCTCAGACAATGGGATAAAAATCTCAAAGAAGAAGACGTCAAAAGCACGTCGCAGTTCGACAACTCAGCACCATTCGAAATATTGAATGATGCTCAAATGGGAAAAACGCTGTCAGCGATTAAAATTACAGGTTTTGTAGAGAATTCAATTCTCTATCGATTGATCTTAAAAAGAACCCTTGTAGCTACTGATACCTCAAAAACAACGAACAAAAGTAGCCGGTTTTATCTGAACTTTAATCCGCAATTAATTATGAATCAACCTGATATTTATATTAAACTTTTGTCTGAAATAGGAATTAAGCAAAAAATATAACAGACACCATAGATTTTTCTTTTCAGGTTTTGCATATAGACATATTTCTCTAATGCCACTTGAAAAGAATATTTTCAATTGAAATAATTCGTTTTTCCTGGACAACAACTATACGCGCGTCAAAGAAGCCCTACCATTTTGGAGTGTTTCCAAATGTTCTATTTCCAAACTTGTAGATCATCTTTAGTATTTGTATTTTGTCTTGAAAATGATACATGACGTATCGAAACATCGACAATAAACGTTAGAAAAAGAGGCATAAGCTATGTGTGAGAGAGTCAAAGCTGTCGTAGCAATAAGCGTTTTATGATTATTGATTTTCCACCTTTCTGAAAAATGCTTTTCACCGTTGAATAGAGCAGATCATTGTGCATCTGTAGATGTACTTACAGTATGATATAAATCTAAGAAGAAAGTAAACGGCTCAAAAAAGTAAAAAGAAACTCGATTTTTCGAAAACTCCATGGTCAATAAAAATGTTATATCTTCATCAGCTGACTTTCAAACCAGACCCCACTTGGACAAAAACATTCTCATATTGTCCGCTATAAAACCTGAAACTAGCGTAACAAACAAAGTTGTTCGTGAGTAGTTATGAATTTTTTATTGTCAAAATTAGAATAGACGTTTAAGTAACTTTAACGAAAAAGTTACATTTTTCAACTCTTGAACGTTTTCTAGCAATACTAATATTATATTTGTAATCTACGAATAAAAGCGCATCGAACAGGCTATTTTAGAAGTGTTCACTACCTTACATCTAATACATATGATAAACCACGAAGTTGAGATATCTTCTTGAAACTAAAGTGCATATTTGACGATAAATGCGCCGAGTAAAAAGACAGGCATGAGTCCTGTTTTGTCGAGTTTTTTCTTCGCTACAAAGCTTCATGTTTAGATATTTCTTATTCGAAGCAGAAAGCTGTTTCTTTCACCATAAGAAATTTCTACTTTCTAGGGGTTATATCTCGGCCTACAGAGAGGATCAAGAGGAGAATTGACAGGTGGTTCGCATTTTGTGGACAAAGTCCAGTTTTTTGAGTTTTCCCCGCACTTTGTCCGCTGTAATTTTGAAAACTCTTTAAACTTGCAAAGAAAAAAGTATACGCTAAAAACAAGAATTTGTATTTTGAGATATCGTACCCGATATCTGTGGTAAAATTTTGAACGCGTCCGCATGAAATTCTGATCGAGTCGTAATGTGCATGGATGAAAACCGAAGTTTGCCAGAAACTCCCTAGATGAATATGTTAGAAAATTCTGTGTAAAAATACATCGATTCTCTCTTCCGATATTCTATCCGATATGCATTGAACGATCGAACTATCCATTTTTCAATCAGGTGAAAAAGAGAGACGAGGGTACCCTTAACTTCAAGAATATACTTTTAGTCTTTCACCGCGTTATTTTGTCCGATGTGATGGGTATAAATAGCTGAGAGTGTATGTGCGTGTTTATATTTATGAACAATCGTTGATGAACAGGAAATTGATAAAATTGACTTTAGCCTCTTTTCTGAAGAGTAAGTAACACTTGGGAAAAAGTTGCTGAGTGAAATAGTGCTCTTCTTGATTACAGATAAGTAATTATCGGAAGTTTGATAGTTTTAACATCAATCGATAGAAAAATGTTAACTCTATCTTTCAATCGTAAGATCTTTTTTACTTTGAAGGATGTGAAGAATGTAAGTTATAAGGAAAATAAGACGATTTTTTAGAAAGTGAATGACTATCCCTCAACTGACTCTATTTTTTGACAGCTAGGATGATGACACCCATTTTAAAAGGACATTTAGTATCATATGTAGATAATTCGAACTCAGTTTTGAAGAAATTTTCTTTTTTGAATCAGAAAAACTGCATAATTCAAGAACCAAAAAGAAATTTTGATAAAAAGTATAAAAAAATCCAATTGTTTCTATAGTAAAAACAACAATTATCAAGTGCAGCATTTTTTAACCGATTGATTCTCAAACAAATGTGTTTTCTCTTAATTTTTATTCGAAAACGAAAAAAGTCGGTAAAAAGTACACGGAGAAAAACGCATTTTTTCATTTTTCCTGTCCACACGAACAATTTTGAGAAACAACGTGTTTGTTCGAGATTTTTAGTCGAAAAAATATTACATTGGATAAAATAAAGAAAGTCGTCGTTAGTATGGACACTTCTAAATCTTTCTACATTCATTAGGTCAAAGTGAGGGGATTTTTACGATTCTCAGAAACAATTTCTTAACTGAGAGACAATTTTTCCCAAAACCTTTTGTGTACGATCAATACTGGAACAAAAGTTCCAACTTTATTGACGTTATTTCATTTTAAATATATATTTCATAAATAATTAAATAGCGAAACCTGATCATTAGTGTAATAACCAATGACAACAAAAATACAAAGTAAAAATACAAATATATAATCTAAATTTGTAAAGTTAGAACGAGATAAAAATAAATAAAAAAACAAAAACGAATGATAATTAATGCGGATGATAATTATTCTAAAAACCATAGAAAAGCATTGTGAGGACGGTCAGAGAATCAATTAAAATAACTAATCGATGCAAATTTTATTTGTCTATTTTACCGTTTTCTTGAAGTATTTAAATGATAATAATTTTAATCAAAACATGATGATTTTGCCATTTTATTATTTCTTCAACAAGAGAACTATTTTTTTTTTGCCCAATATATCAACAATAAAACTAGTGAAAAAATATTTCTAAAACATTTTTAATGTTCATATATTTATTCATTTTTTCACATTATCAGTTTATATAGAAAAGAAAAACAGATAAACAAGAAAACAGAGAGGAAAAGAAAGCGGAAACATTATTTTTTCAAAAATAAATAAAATGCAGACATATTCACACACATAGATAAAAACTATACAGACAGGTATATAGAAATAGTAGAATCGCTTTTCTTAATTTATTTTTTATTTTATTTTTTGAAACAAGAATGAAAGAAAACAAGAAAAGCTATACAGAACAATTCTTCCACTAGTAAACAAATTCATATAGATATAGATATATATATAAATAGGCGCTAGCTTACGAAAAATAAACATACAAACAATGTGTGTGTGTGTGTGTGATGAATATGACTAACAGAAAGCCATAAGAGGAAGTGTGTGTACAAATATACGTAAAAAAAACATTTAAAACAATGACACATTGCGTCTCTTAATTACTTCTCACTGTATAGACTAAATACAATAAAAAAAAAAGAACTGTTCAACAAAGAGACTTGGATTAGTTATCGTTTTGATCCTATTTTGGTTATTCACTGTATTTGAAACAAATAAATAGATTATCAGTTAACTTATAATAAAAGAATAAGTTGTGGAAAAACAATTCCTCACTGTTTTACAAAGATTTTAAACCAAGCCATTAAACTGTTCAAAAGTGATATAATACAGATCTTATATTCTTCTCAGATAAAGCAACAAATAGAAAAATGGATGGTTACCAAGGATTCTGATAATGTTGTTGCTGTTGCTGTTGTTGTTGTTGTTGTTGTTGTAGCGATGTTTGGTGATGAGTATGAAATGTTGTTGGTGTCACGTGCATATCACTGTCACTATGTGAACTATCGTCACCGCATTCAGGATTTAGTAATAGACCACTAACGTGAGCAGCAGTATGTATTAAATTAATTGAATTTGCAGACGATGATGATTTCGTACCAATAGTATTTGAATTACGTATTTTTTGATGTACCTTTCCATGTCTTTTTCGTTCATCGGATCGAGCAAAACGTCTACCACATGTATCACAGGAAAACGGTTTTTCTAAGCGAAAAAATGATAGATCATTATCTATATTGCTTTCCTCTTATGAAAAGAGATAATTCTCTTTATAGTTGGTAATAATTTCGATGTCCTAGACGAAATTAGAAAGTGGGTTCCTCATTAAATAAAATAATATCTACTTACCACCCGTATGTGTTCGAATGTGTGTTGTTAAATGATCAGAACGACTAAACGCTCTTGCACATATTTTACATTGAAAGGGTTTATCACCCGTGTGTATCCGAATATGTCTCGTTAATTCATCCGATCGTGAAAATCGTCGTGGACAGGCATCAACCGGACATGGAAATGGTCGTTCGTGTAACGGTGTTTTTGATGGTCTATTTGCATATTTACGAGGTTTAACAAACAAAAATGGCTGTGTTTGTTGTTGTTGTTGTTGTTGACCGCTGGTAACAGTGGCTGTCGTAATAGATTTTGATGTATCGGATGGATAAATAGTAGAACTTGGTGGATATTCTTGAGGTTCTTCTTTGATATGCGAATGTTGTTGATAAGATGGCGCATTTGAATTTGTCCAATCTTGTTGCTGAGAAGATGCGGTGTTAACTGGTTGTTTAATTGAATATAAATTTCCATCTACTCTCATTGGTACAAAATTTGTTTGTTGAGGTATAGTAGATTTTGGCCTCACCATTGTATCGTGATAAGAAGGAGGTTGTGACTGTTGTTGATAATCAATGTAAGTGTGATGTTGATCATTATTATAAGGTGAATAGACGGCAGCTGCTCGACTATGATGATTCATTGTGAGAGTTGTTGATGCCGTTTGAGCTGTCGATGATGTAGGTATCGTTGGTGGTTGAGAAGTTAATGAAGACGAAGAATTATAAATATTAACGGATGAATGTGATGATATTGATGATGCTACTGTTGATGAAGAATTTGAATTTACAGAATCAATCTCACCATTTGTACGTTTATTATTATTTTTTTCTAAACAATAGGACGATGGTGATAATGATCGTTGATTTTTCGGTGAAGATAAATGTTGACGAATAAGAGTATCGTCTGATGATTTTAGTTCGTTAGAATAAGACGACGATGTATGACCGTTGAATGTCGTTGAATACGATGGCTGCGTAGTTGTGATTGACGATTGATCTTTTGGTTTATGAATATGTGATAATTTTAATGGTATATGACGCGCTGAAGATGATTGTTCATTAAATAATATTAAACTTTTTGGTAATTGCATATTCGATGAATCATGTGTTATTGTATCCGATTCTACATTGGACGATGTCGAACTGTTTGTTCCATCACCAATTTGTTTACTACTGACTGCTATAGACGAATCAATATCAATATTACCATTTGTTATTGTTGTTGAAGATTGAGCTTCTAATGATCCTAAACAATAAAACAATTTTGAAAAAAGTCAAACGGCTAATAATTCTCACTTTTCTTACATATCACGTCTTTCATTCATTAGAACATATATATAAAAGTCGTATATATATATATGATCTTATTTTGACAAAGTAAGAGAGTGAGTAGTTATATGTATAGATCGATTAGTAGTTTTTGATGACGGTCACTTTTCACTTTTTAACAATCACCACCAAATTTTGATGAGAATGACAAATTTTACTTTCATCATATTATGGATGGTGTATACGGTCTATGTATAAAAAAAATATATATATATATATATATATATATATATACAAACTAGTACGATTACTCTTCGTATATTTTCTTTTTTCGTCTTTTATGCATTTCACTACCATGTATATACATTTCATTTTATATATTATGAAGAGAAAAAGTAATATATTGAATAAAAAAAAAATTTTTTTTTTTGCTAAGTTTTTAATATATATATTATGTATGAATATATATGTACGTATGTAACATAAGATAAAAAGAAAACAATTCTTTCGATTCTGAGATTACAGAAGCTTTTATTGTTGCGTTTTATTGATAAATAGTCAAAAAATGATTATGATTTATCAGGTATATAGAGAACAAATTCAGGTAAACGATCAAGTAATAAAAAATTTACTGTTATTACTCTCACCATGTGATGATCCTTTTTTTAACACCTAATTTTTCAGCATAAAGATTACAGATTTCTTCTCAGAATTCTATAATATGAAAAATTACTAATAATACGATTGTTAATTTTTTACATTGTCATCAGGAAACATGGAAGAGTTATAATATTTTCTATAAAAATCTATTCATCATCTATTTTGAAAAAACAAAATAATTAAAATTTACACTCAACATCACTGGATATTTGGCTAATCATATCTTTCACGTTCTATCATTAAAATTGCTAATTTCTTAAAAATGATCATAAATTCATACTTAAAATGTCTAACTACATATTAATAAGTTTCAGTTTTAGACTCTGACATACTTCTTTTTTTCTTCTTAAAATGATTTTAAATACTATCGAAAATATTCAAAAATTCTTATAGTTCTAAACTCTTCCCATTAAAGACTTTAATCATATATGATTGCTTTACAATGATGTGATAGTTCTTTTATCAAAACAGAAAAGACAATTTCTTACTTTATCTTCACTAAATACTTTAGACATTGATGATGATTTAGACATAGAATCTTTTATGACCTTAACATTTTACCCATAGTATGTATATTACACAATCATTAAAAAAAGATGCAACAAAACAAAACGCTTTGTTAAGAGAGCTTTTCTTTTAGTCACATACAAACATTCAACCTTGTTTAAGATTTAAAAATACAAATCTTTCTTTTATATACATGATGAAATTTTTTGCGAAATTTTCAATTAACAGTGTCAAAGCGCCATTTTATTCTGGCATAGAAACTTGCCTAAAACCATGTCTTTTATTTCTAATCCTACTATATCAAATTAAAAGTATATTCTTTTTGTTGTACTTATCATCGTCATTATCAAGAGACAGAGAGAGAGAGAGCAATAATATCACATCATCTATCAACTCAATGTCATCAACAGCAAATTTAACATCTTCAATTGATTATATACCATTTAATTCATTTACATATCATTTTGATTTAGATGAATTAAATCCATCGATTGGTGAAGAATTTTCTTATTTTTCTCAATCAATCGGACATCGTACAAAAACAAGTGGAAACACTAATACGAACACTTTAACTAGTACAACAGAAACAACGATTAATCTAAAAACTAAAGTTTCATTGACAGCAATTACTCTTTTTCCTGTAACAATTTTGATGAATAGACTGAATTCATCGACAATAACTACAACAATGATGGCAACATCATCAACTGATACTACTGGAACAAGAAATAAATAATAGAGTAGTATCTTTCTCACTTGACACTCGATGATGATCAAATGAACATAATACAAAGGACTTATTAAAAAATCTTTTACTAAAAGAGTCAATCGGCAGCAGTAAGACAACAAAAATGTGTTTAAAAAGACCAATTCAATGCATTTTCTAAATGTTGAAGGAAAACTCACAATAAAATTTTACAATAATTTTACAGTAATAATTAAAATATCGTTCAATCAATCAATTTTTATTCTAGTCTATGATCTTAAAAAGCTCAATATATTAGCCGTAAATATTGAAAAGTATTTAACGATATGATCTTAAACGAGCATAATAATAACCGACAAAAGCAGAGGTTATCATCTTTTATAACGAATAAAAGTGTCTACTAACCTGAGTAGTGTTAATATAACGTTTAATTTCAGGAAATACATATCCCGCTTTATGTCATTGGCGTTCTAGTCTTATTCTAAAATACTTTTCAAAAAAGAAAAGAATAAAAAGAAAAAGAAAATTAAAAAAAATATATAAGAGAATAAGAGAAAATAATTTGTACAGTTCTCTTCTTCTCTCTATCTGTATTTAACGGAAATTAAAACTCTATGAATAATCAACCAGAGATTCTGATTATTAGCATAATGATGGATAATGATAACGAGAAGAAGAAATCGAACAAAAGAAACGAAAGATTTAAACTAAACTTTCTTCTTTTTTTTTTTTTTATAACATTTTAACTGCAAGAGTGGAGAGAGAAGAGAATTTGCTCAATGCGCGTATTTGGAAATATCTTTCTCTCTCTCTCTTTCTCTCTTTTCTTCTTCTTCTAAACGTCAATTATAACATCGTTGTCCTCGTGTGATAAGCGCATGTCAACAACGAGAAGCTCATTGCAAACACGCCCTTTTCGCTTTAGATTACACACACACACACTCACACACACACACACACACATTTCTATGTATTTTTATTCGTTCGTTCGTTCATTGAAGAAGAAAAAACTTCGGGATTTATTGTGTACAACAACAGAAAAAGAAAGTCGAATTCGAGGATTTTTTAGTTTAAATCCGTATGCAAAAATTTTTTTGAAACATCTTTAAAAAGAAATACTGTAGTTTTCGATGCATACATAAACTTCTTCAAGAATATTTATAAATTATATTTTATATACAATGTTTGCTCGCAAACCACTATATGCTTTGGTTACAATTCAAAAATCAAATTCATCATCTAAATTAGACACGTTATCTCAAAAATTAGTCTCAATAGTTGAAGAAACGTTTAAAATCAAGTGTAAAAACAGCATGTCCCTTTTTACCCTCGGCAGCTAATCATGCAAAGCGAACTTGAAACTCATATATCTTTGTCTAGCCTTGATAAAAAAAAAAATAAAAAAAAACTTTTCTTAATAGCAAATGCTAGCTTATGGTATCAGCTTACACTAGAAAAGAATCCATTTTTTGATGTGACGACATACCGTCATCCTGCTGTAGCAATTCTCCGATGTTCATTAATGTCCATGCCTGTGAACATCCGGATTAAGAGATTGTTGTTTTTTTATATTAAAACCTCTGCAGATGTACTCATTTTTGTAGGATTTAGTGATAATAATAAACTTTATAGTTTTCCATGTTGATTCATTTTTTTTTAAATTAAAAAACCTAGAACCTTGTAAATGTGATCAAAATTTTAATGGTTTCTAAAACGTACACATACCATTGGATAATTTGTTAGAATAAAGAAAATCTTACTATTTCTAAATAATACTAGTTTGAAAATGAGATGTATTTATTTAGAAAAATAAACGTATATTTTTAGATTCAATTGACTATTCATCTTGAATTCTGACTTAAAATACGATACTAATAAGGATGAAATACTTACATAAATAAGATGAGACGTTGTTATTAATATTATTATTTTTTTTCGTAATGGAAACAAAGAAAGATAATAATCACAAAAAAATAATACATAAAAAGCAAATCGACATTTGTTCAGTTTTCGATTTTAGATGAGATACAATCATTTAACTATTCTATGATCAATGTTTTTTGCATTAAACATCCTGTATTGATTATATTTCGTTTTTTTTGTTTCTTTTTTGTATAATGATCAGTTCCAATTTGTGCATGTATATGTATGTATGTATGTGTGTGTGTGTGTTGTACACATCAAATTTTTTTTCCACTATATCTTTGTTTCATTGTTTAGATGATTACATATTTATTCAAATAAACAAGTATACATTGAATCTGTTTTATTTTTTTACTTTTTCTTTTAGACGACACCTGCTCAAAATAAAACTGGAAGATGATCATTATCATGATCTATTTCTATATATATTGATGACAAATATTAGATAGTTAACTGATCAAGAAACAAGAGACATAACACACAAAACTGAATATAGTTACTTTCTTCTATACAATCATATAACCAGTATTTCTTTACTTTTTAAATGTTGATGAATATTAAAATTTAATGAAAAAAAAATTGTTAAATAACACAAGAACAAATATTTCATACGTAATATAACAATTAGATAGAACAACAGATAAATGGACAAACAACAATTTTTAACGATTTTTTTGGATCAACACACATGTTTTTATGATACAAAGATTTTTGAACAGATAAATATCGAACCCACTCATAGATTCATAAATCGTTTTCTTAATCTTCTTGCACCTTCTACACTTACACTATCAATGGTACAGCAATATATTTGATAGAAAATCCAACACAACACAAAGTTTGATTAACTATTGAATATTTAAATGTTAACAATAGCAGAATGAGAATAACTATTTTGTAACCGGCACGTGAAGGCACGATTTAAAACGTAACGAAATGTTTAGTACTAGACGAAAATCTTTTAAATTCTATTTCCTTACAATAAACGTTTCCACAGAGTAAAACAATCAAACGTATTATTCTTGGAAAAACAAAAAAAAATTTCCATTCTAAATCCAATCTTTAAGAGTTCATTTATAATGTTTTCAATGTATATGTTCAACATGTTTCAAAATCAATATCCATTTAGTAAGATACAGATTATTATAGTGTACTAAAGTGAAATACTCTTTCATTACTATGATCATTATCATATAAAGATAAAAACACTTTATCAAATAGATTAAACCCGCTAGCATGAACGAAGTAAGATGTATGAGATGGATAGATAAATATTTAATTTATATACTGATACATACGTATTTTACTGCAAAAATTTGACGATATATGATTTTTAAAAAAAAACAAATAACGTGTGTTATATGTGAGCCTCGTGCTTCTTTGTTCTATATATGTACAATATAATCATTAACTACAAGGTTTTAGACCAACACTGTCTTTTTTTTTTTTTTTTTGTTGTCAGACAGTTTGTAGAGATAAGTTTCTTAACAAGTTGCAGACACATTGTACATGTGCTACATGGAAAAATAAAACAACGCATAGATTAATCGTTTTTTTTTGTCAGTGGCATTTTATTAGTACTATTGTTTTCCTTCAGTTTCTATTTTTGATCTCGTTTACTTTTTTCTTCAACAAATTTGCCTTATTTGAACTTATATGATGATCAATTTTTGATTAAAACATCAGTATAAGTGCAAAATTAAAATTAAAAATATGATTTTGTTTCTAGTAAAAAAAAAATTTATTTTTTTTTTTTCTTTTGATGGTTTATTCTATCTAATAAATGCTTGATGTTGACATATCATAGAAAAATCTTCATCATGTTAACTACTAATTCTATATTAGATATATATCTAATGTTTGTATTAGATATGTCAATCATGTTTGCTTCTCTTTGCATGTATTTTTCCGGTTTTTTCTTCTTCTTCTTCTTCTTCTTCTTTTGATATTACTTGTTGAATGAAATACAGTCTACAAAACATCTTTTGCTCTCTGATAACGTCCTGTTGAGCCAAATAATAAACACTGATAATAATAAAATTGGAAAACTATCTTAGGTTAGCAGAAAACACATTTCGGTATTTTTGTACTGAAAAATTACTCGTGTCTTACTTAACTTAATATAATAGTTTTATAATAATTAGAGAGAGTAGAACATTTATTTATTTCATGTTGATTGATAAGAATAATTACTAAAAAAATTATTTAGATCGATGAATGAAACGAAAAATTTAATAATACAGTTGTACTTTTTATACCAAAAACCTTGACAAATGATAATGTAATAATAACAATACTTAAAAATATTCCTAAAAATAAGTTTAATAACCAATGGTAAGATAATAGTACTTTATATGAATTTGTATACTTAACGATAACACCGGATGTTTCTATTTCTAATCCATTCTTCAATAACTATGTATTGAATACACGTTTTTGTTTTGTTTTTTTTCTTCTTCTAACTACAATCTTCTTTTGTTTGTGAATCAAATTTCAAAACTCAATAGCGTCATATCAGCGCAAAACCATTAATGAAGGAAATTTATTAGCAATTTGATAGCATTGACACACCGACAAAAGATGAATACCAGGAAGTCCTTGAAAACAGTCACAGGAATAAAAGTTCTAGTCGTCTTATACGTATGATTTATTTTTCTTCCAAAAAAACAAAAAGATATATCATTGAAAAGTTTTGCTCGAATGTCAAAAGAAAGTCGGTGGAAGTAATTAGGATACTTGTAAGTATACTAGATACTATTTATATAGAAATCAAATAAATGTAGTGTTTTACAAGAAAAGACCGTTCATATTAGACTTTTGACAGTGTATATTTTGAATTTAACTAGTTCAGATAGAGTCTTTGAGTCTACATATCGTTTTTTACAATTAAATGATATGACATTACTTCAAACATCCATCGTTTCTCTGATAAGATAAGCAAAAAAACAAAATGACAATGAGAAAACATTCTCTTAACTTTTAACTTGTTAACCGCACAAAGAAACAAAATAACCTTCTTCTCTTTGCTTTTCTCTTGTCTTTAAAAAAAATGATACACTTGCTGTAAATAATCAACTATGACAGGAGATTAGAGTATATCACTCTTCCTGAAAATTAGTAGGTACATAAAAATATTCATTTATCGTCAATGCAGTTTCATCTATTTTTTATATCGTTAGAATATATTATACAAGGTTCGTAGTACATATACATTGAGATATCTCGTATAAACTAACGTTCTATTTCAATGAAAATCTGATAAATACTACACGATTAGAGCAAGTCTATGGGTATGATTGACCGTATTTGAAATTGTTGAACTATTCTAAAAAGTCATGTTTAAATTAATTTCAAACACAATATTTCTATGAAAACGTAGATAGTAGAATAGAGTTGCCCTTCTAAGTTCTATCTAGTTTTTAGATTGATCAAAATTCGCATGAGACACCTTTGAGAAGGATCATTCATAGAATTTGAGACTTTTTAGAAGTGACTAAAATGAAATTAATATTCTGGTATTATTTGTTGTTCTTATCATAACATGTCGAATTTATGATCTTAAAAAATTTAGAAATAAATAAAAAGAAAAATGAAAAAAACAGACAAATTTCGTCTGCGTATTTAAACACGATGATCGTGTTTTAAAACTGATATTAGTGGCATTTATGTCATTCTTGAACTTGAACTTGAAAGTTTATTTTATACCCAATAAAAAAACATCTCGTAACAAAGGAAAGCACAAAAAAAAACCAAAGGCTTATAAATACAGTGCCACCACATGGAAAAGAACCACGAGAAGAGAGTATAGAAGAAAAAACAACAACAAAAAGAATTCAGTACAAGGTCGGTACAAAATTCAACAAACCGTCATCGTAAACATCTCTATGATAGAAAGACAATTCTATTATATACTATTTACGTTTGTTTTATCATTTTGTTTTCATAGAAATATTGCGTTTGAAATTTATTTAAATCTTACTTTTCAAAATAGTTCTACAATATCAGATATGCTTCATCATACTCATAGACTAGTCCTAATTGTGTCGTATTTATCGACTTTTCATTGAAATAGAACGTTAGTTTTATCTTCAATGTCATATATCATATACGTTGAAATGTATATACAGTACATATAAAGTGAATACCGTGACATCAATCTCTTTTTCTCTTATCTTCAAAATCAGTTATTTAATTAAAAAAAAAAACACTAAAAAATAAACAACAATGATCTACTTCGTCTTCTTCAATTATTTGCTTATAATTTCTATACACAATTATTAATAGTAGATTAGTTTCTATTTTTAAGTATATATAAAATATAAAATTTTTTACTAACCTGTAGTAGTTGATGTAGGTATATTGATGGGAGGTATATCGTAAAAAAATGTACTATATTTTGTACATGTATTTGGTGTATTTAAAACACAAGGTGTCGTTGGTTCTTGTGAACTTAATTTTTCATTAATATTACACAACATCATTGTTGAATCAGTTTGATCATCCGATATTAAAGATGGATCTTTAAATGATGTTTTTAAATGGCTCATTGTAATAATAATCATAATTCATAACATTACAATCGTCTATTAAAAGTAACAACAAATTTAGTTTATTTTTTTTTCTTTTGTCGTCGTTTCGTTACTGATTAACAATACTCGTGTATGTATATGTATTTATCGAAAGAAGAAGAAAAAAACAAAAAAAAATTAGAAAAAAAAATGTCAAGTTAATTTTAAAGCAAAACAAAAAGAAAAGAAAAATCTTCTATTTATCGACTTTACGTAATAATAATAGTGCTCGTTGTAATATTACTAATAAATAATAACAATAAACGACGACAGATATGACATTTTGTCCGCTATGTTATAAATAAAGAAGGAAACAAATATACGTATGTATGTTTAAAGAGTAAATAAATATGATTCGTAGGTGGATAGGTAAGAAAACACGCTTGTTATTCTATTAAGTAATAAATATATGTAGATGCTTATTACAAATATAAGAAATAAAAAAGATCTAAAAGGAAAAAAAAAAAACTTAAAGAAAAACATTATTCATAAGTTAAGAAAAACGATGAAAAAAGAAAAATGTTCACACGTCAATGGCGACAATTCTCTTTCTTTTCTTTTTTTTTTCTCTTTTTTTTCTCTTACCTTTTCACGTATTTCTATATGTATAACCTTATACTATTACACTAAAAGATTACAAATTCGTCGAAAATGAGAGGGGAAAAAATCATGAACATTGTGCATGTCTATATAGTTTATTTGATGAGATATTATCATATGACACATAGACCTTGTCAAAAATTTATTCTTTGACTAATTAGATCTGTAGAAAAGAAAGAAAAAAAAAAATTAATCATGTTAAATCATTTTTAGAGGTAATTGAAGAAAATATGCGACTCTAATTGATTACTCATACAAAATCTTTAGAGCATGCATAACTAAACTGTTAGAATAGCGTTTCTCTCTCTCTCTCTCTTTCTTTAAGAAAAACAAAGACTGACTAATAAATGACCAATCAAATTTTTAATATTTTCAATCGATAAACAACATCAAATTAATTTACAAAAAAACAAATATAGTTTATCTAATATTTTTATCTCAAGAGTTCTACTAGAAATTTTACAAAAAGAATTTTTATACTATAATTATTAACATGATTATACTTAGAAAATAGTTTCATATTCCCAAAACGCAAACACCATATTTTGTGAATACAAAAAAGATGCTGAATACTATCTCCTTCTTCTTCTTCTTCTTCTTCTTCTTTTTTACTGCCAAAAGACGATGTCAAAAAAGACATAGATTTAATCTGTTAAAATCTACATTGTAAGTAAAAATATATTACTTTCAACTGTTAGTTTATTGAACGAGTGTATCTATCTAATCGAAAATCCTGTCATTATAATATATCACTAGTATATGAATATTCGCTCAAATTTTAATTGATACTGACTTCGTTTAAAATCACAGAAAAATATATAGGATAGTTTCATATTCTTTCTTATGTCTTTAGTTCATTGTATTCTTACAGTATACAATTGGAAAATACTTAAACTATCAAAAATAAAACCACAAAATAAAAATAAAAAATTTTCTTTTTTTTCGTTCGACTCATATAGAAGAATGTCGGAATTTTTTTCATTTTTATAACAAATAGTAAAGATGTGTACATCATTTCATAGTATGCATACCATAAATGAAAACTAAAAAACAAAAAGAACCGTTTAAAAAATGAGTTTTAAGCAGATATTTTACAAGAAGAATATAAATCGAGAATGATGATAATATATATATTTTTTTTATCCTTCAGATATATTCTACACAAATTATACTTTTATATAACAAATTTGTCTTTGAAATATGTTAATGTTAATAAAACGTACATTTAATGAAGCGAATAAAATTACATACTGTTTATTTTTTTGTTTTTCTACCAACACATACACAAACACACGAAACAATGAGCAGGTGATCAATGCACTTGACATTTTTCAAACGTATATATATATTATATATGCATGAAAGAGAAGTGGCGTACATTTTGAAATAGGTGTACTCTCTTGGGAAAAACAGAGAGACATGAAAAAAAATGTGAAACCGTAAAAGATGGTGATGTCTATGGAAAAACTTAATTTTATCCATAGATAGAGGTATCCGTATATATATATATATATGTATATACGTATAAGGAAGCAATAAACATAATAATGCTTTTTATTCTCTTTTTTTTTCAAAGTCAAGAATGTCATGTGCAAGAAACAAAAACAATAAAAATATTTTTTCTTCTTTTTTTGCATAAAATATAGAACAAGAGCAAAACAGAGACAGAATAGCCTAACACATTAGATGAATATATTTGGAACCTTGACATTGAAAAACAAAAAATATTCTTCTTCTTTTTCTCGTTATTATTATAAGACACCGAAAAAATGTCTCATGATAGAAAAATATAACAACAACAAACAAATGACAAAGATGCGTACTTTTAAAGGTGGCATCTATCACATTTCTCTATAAACAGCTGAACGAGAGTTCGAGTGACATAGAGAAAAATATTTTATTTGTCATCATCATTCTCACAAGAAGATAAACATTGGTAAATTTGTCTCTTCCAGCAGTATCCAGCAATATCATAGAATGAACCTCTTAGCTAATTTCTTGGCTTATAACGTACATCGATATTTGCTTACAAACCACTAAAAAAAGAACAAAAAAATAAGATCATTTTAAAAAATTTTAAAAACCACTATTTGACAAATAATGAAACACAAAAAAAATAATACAATATTTTTAGAATAAATTTATGTGGTTTATCATTTTCTGTTTTGTTGGTCATAAAAAATAACAACAACGTTGTCAAAATAGTCATATTCTAATCGAGTCAAGTTTCTTTTTTTACCCTTAAAAAATAAAAGTTACCAAGAAAAATGTTGTCCTCATTTCTTTTTCTTTTTCTTCTTCTTGTTCTTCTTCTTATGCTAGAGCAAAAGATCGGAGACCTTCTTTCAGATTAGACTTGTCTTTTGTATAAAAAAAAAAAAAAAATTGGTACCATAAAGAAAAGGAAAAGGGAAAAAAAAAGGGACATTTTTGTAAACAAAGAAACTTCATCTAATATTCATTTAACTCAACAATAAGAAAATGACAATGACAGAATATCTAAATTTGTTTTTCCGTTCTTAAAACGCGTAATGGCTCTTCTGATTTCTCAAATACTATTTAAACAAATTACATTTTTATATAGAATAGTAGAATAGACATTTGCTAATAAATAACTCGAGTATAGACAAAAGATCGATGGCCTGTTGTATGACAATGAAATTGAACTACTCATGAAATAAAGGCAATAAACACACATAGTTTAACAGATGAAATAATAGATTTCAAAAGAAGACTTTGAAGTTAAAAAGAGAAGAAGTGTATTGTGATCCATTGAAAAAAGAAATGACATAATATGAATAGTGAATTTTTTTTTAATTTTAAGAAAACTTCGAAAAGATCTTACTCTATTTCATAATAAAATGGATTTTATTGACTTAATTAATATTTTTGTTGTTGTTGTTTTTCTACATTTTTTAGCTAGATTAAAATATAAAGTTTATTTTAAAAAGTAATTATGTAATAATAATAATAATAAACAAGAACGTAAATATCAGGCATTAAACGAACATGATGACCAATAGAAAATTTTTTTTACTGTCAGAGACAGATAAAACCAATGTTGTCTTAATCAGTTTAATTTGATGCTGTTTATAAAAATAAAGAATAAACGATGAGAGGAAGAAAAACAAAAAAAAAAAAAAAATAAATCAAGGTCATGAGAACAACAAACCCCAAATTTGCCGGATGCCAATGTCTAACTTTTGATCCAAGGATAGATCGTATGTTCTTTTTCTATTTTTTTTTTCCTTTTTCTTCTTCTTCCTTGTGTATAGACAATAGAATGCTGTAGTATGTATACTCAATTCTATAATGAAACAAAACATGTAAAACAAGATAAAAAAAATACGAATCCGGAAAAGATCGGATAACATACGCAATGATTAATCGTGCTTAGAAACATGAGGTGAAAAATAAACATAGACATTAGAAAAGGATTTAAGTAGCTTTTGTCTTGATTCCAGATCGATAGATGATAGTCATATGACAGAGAGAAGAACAAAAAATAAAAAAAAATAATATAGACTCACCATATGTTTTAGGACAGAAAAATCTTTTCTTCTTCAAAAAATAAGTTAGAATCAATTTTCAAATATTTAAAACATTCTCTTTCATTGAATTACTTCTATATGTTATGGATATGAGTCAAAATGCTTCGATATTAATAATTAAATAGAACAGCTGCAACATAAAATAAATTGAGAGAAAGTATACTATAGTAACTTTTAACTTCAAAATGAAAATGAGAAGCCGAGAATGTTGTTCATTGATGAAAATTTACTGAGGTGTGTTGATGATATTTTTAAAAGTTTATCTTCAACAGGAAGGTTTTTTGTCTTATATTAAATGAATAACACATTGTAAACAAAATAAAGAAAAAAGCAATTAGACAGATATAATAGCGTTCAACATTGACATCTATTTTTATGTCAAACATTAAATGACAACCCATTTCTGAAACATTTGACGGTAGTTAACTGGAACAAAACAAGAAGAAACAAAACCACAAACGCAATTATATTTCAATATAATTTGTGTGTCTCAACAAGAACATAACATTTAATGTAAATGGGGGGGGGGGGGGGGGGGAACATTTTGACCCCCCCAATAATTGGGGGTGCCGCCACAATTTGAGCCCCCCCGTTGCCGGCCAATGCCAAAAAACAC